GCGGTGCCGGCCGCCGTGGCGCCACCCTGGAGGCCTGGGTTGTTCCTGTCCCACATGTTTACGGCCTTGTTGTTGTAGTTGCTCGGGTCGCCCCAAGCTGAGGTACCATCATCGATTTCCATTTTGCGTCGAATGGAGGGCGGAGAAGGCTCTTCCCAGCCCGTGGCCTCAGCGCCGTCCTTCTGTTTGACAGGGACGGGCCCCCCGATCCACCCAGTTCCGGTCTGCTTGACGGAGGCGGCCCCTCCCCAGTTACTCACGCTGCTGTCTTGGGGTTTGCTCACCCAGCTCTGCTGGGGGCCAGGTTTCAACGACTCTCCCCAGTTCGTCCCTGGATTCACCTTGGTGTTTGTGCCGTTGCCCCAGCCACTGGTCCCAGACCGTGTAGCCTCGCTCCAGCCGGACCCTGAACGGTTACTGTCAGCATCCCATCCAGGGCCATTTTTTTTCCCATCCCCCAAATGGCCAAGGACGGTGGAGGAATCGGCCCAGTCTCCCCCTCCTGCACTCCAGGCTGGGCTCGATTTCTGTCCGTCTCCCCAGTTTTGGGATTTGGGCTTTGGAGGCTCACCCCAGCTGGGTGATCGGTCCTCCTGACCTGCGGTCCCACTCCAAGCGTGGCCACTCTTGGCGGCAGCAGCATTCGGGACAGCAGTAGAGCTTATCGAGTCCCCCCAAACCCCAGGGCCATTTTGCGCTCTGTTGCTGCTGTCCCCCCAGCCTGTGTTTGCTGGCCCAGCAGCAGGGGGCGAGCTGACCCACCCGGACACTGACGAGGTATTTGCACTGTTCACGATGGACCCATTGTTCTTACCCCCTGAGTGTGAAGGCTGAGGAGCTGCACAGCCCCAGGCCTCTGTCCCATTGTCATTTTTTCGCTCAGACCTCGGGGACTCTTCGAATTCCCAGGCAGTGTTTTGCTTTACTGGAGTCTGTCCCCAGCCAGTATTCGACAGAACTCGCGGGTCAAGGTCGTTCCTTGGCAACTGTATGTGCCCTGGGTCTAGGACCCCTTTATCTCGCCTCCGGCCCTCAGCCCCTTCCCTCCCGGCGCCTCCTTCATTGTGGCCGCCAGAGCCCTCGCTGCTGCCTTCACTCGCTGTGGTGCCAGAAGAGGCTGCCTTGGCCCACGTGCTCACATGCTCACTGCCAGGCTGCACAGCCGGGCTCTGGCTGCCGACACTGGGACCGTCCCACCCTGTTGATCCTTTCCCATTGACGTCACCACTGGAATGCTGGTTTGGGGGCTTTCCCCACTCCCCATTCACACCATTTGTGGTGCTTCGGCTGGAGTGGCCCCACGCTCCCGAATGGATATTCCCGAGGCTGTTGTTGCCGCGGCCCCTCCCCCAAGCGAGGATCCCAGGGCCAGCAGGAGGCCCCGAATCCCAGGCGGTCCCTCCAGTCCCTTCCTTTTGCCCAGCACTGCTGGATCCGTTTTGTTTAGCACTTAATGCTGAGTTCACAGTGTCTCCATTCCCCTGATTGAACCCAGAATTGCTATTTCCTGTAGTAGGGTTAGCTGGGGACAGTCCCCACACAGAGTTGCCGATTCCTTCGCCACCGCCCCCGCTGACTTGAGAGACTGATCCGTTAGCACCAGGAAGGCCTTGCAGGTGGGGTGGGATGGCGGCCCCCATGCCCACAGCCATGCCCCAGTTTGGCAGTCCGTTGGTCTGCACTGCACTGACAGGGTTTGGTGAGGAGTCCGTGGGGTTAGTGTCATTTGGTCCATCAGTGTTAAGGTTCTGAGGTTGTGCGCTGAAAGACACATTCTGAGGAGTGGACACCTGTGGCTCTGTGCTCTCCTGCGGCAGCAAGCTTCCCCAAGCACCCAAAGTGCCCGCCGGGTCCCCGTTCTGGCTGCCCATGCTGTGGCCTATGGCACTGACTGGGCTGCAAATACTGGAGGGGTTGCCTGCGGCCACAGTTCCTTCATGTCCAAGGACAGGCCAGGCAGCGGGGTTGGCATTCGGATTAAGGTTGAGGTTAATGCCAGCGTTGGAGTTGGAAGCGCCCCAGCAATTCTGACCTCGCCCATCTCCAATCATGTCCATCTTCCCATCCCCGCCAAGAGAGCAGCGAGCAAGGCCGGAGCTAGAGCCCGTGGCTACACCCCACCCCCTGGCTGCACTGCCATTGCCATTGGCGCCCCCTGCTCCAAGGGCACTCGGATTTGGAGGGCTTTGGATGAGTGCGCCGTTGGTGCTGTTATTGCCATTGGTCTTCTTGGTGTGTCCTGTGAAGCCGCCTGGGGCGCTCCCTGTAGCCATGCTACTGTTCTCAGAGCCGCAGTTGGAGGCAGAGTCAGTGTCTGTGGTGCATTCTGAGGCCGATTCCGTCTCTGTTCCTGGGATGGACGGCCACGCCTCCTTATCAGTCCTGTCTATTATCACTTTGTCCCAGCTGCCGCTGGCTTCACTCCTGAAAGTGGGCTGCTGTCCCCAGTGGGCACTTTCATAATGCTCTGCCAATCCACTGTGACTGAGATCTGGAAAAGATGAAACACATCCAGAATTAGACCTTCCTCCCATCTGTCAATGGATCAACGGTTAGCTAGTCGGGGAAGCTCATCATTTCAAGCTTTCCATTCTAAATGACAAATGCTAAAAAAACAAAGAAAAAAGTTGTTTGTCTTCTTAATAGCTCCTACTTAAAAACGAGTTAATGTTGCTATAGTTATATTAATTCTTACTACTACACTGTATTCTCCTTCCTCTTGAGAAGGCTCACTGTGCACACGGGCACACAAGCGTCTCTGGGAGCATTTGTTGGAAAGGAAGCTGCTTCACTGCAATGTGGTAACTTGGAGTATGTCCAACTCTGCAACACCTAGAACCACCAACAATATTTGTCCTTTTGTGACTGGCTTATTTCACTTAGCACAATGCCCTCAAGGTTCATCCATGTCCTAGCATGAGTCAGAATTCCCTTCCTTTTCAATGCTGAAGAATATTCCACTGCATGTATAGACCACATGTTTATCCACTTGCCTATCATGGACAACCTGGGTTGTTTTCACATCTGGCTACTGTGGATATTGCTGCTCTAAACATGAGCATGCACATCTCTGTCCAGCCCCTGCTTTCCATTCTTTGGGGTCTATACGCAGAGGTGGAGCTGCTGGGTCATAGGTAGCCCTATGACTAAGTTTCTGAGGAACCACGGTGCTCTCTTCCGCAGTGGCAGCAGCATTTTAAACACCACGACCGACAGTACACAAGCACTCCATGCCTCACACCCTCGCCAACACCTGCCAGTCTCTGTGTTTTGGATAACAGCCATCCTAATGGCCGTGCAGTGGTATCTCATTGTGATTTTGATTTGTATCTCCTGAACGATTAGTGTGATGTTGAGCATTTTTTCATATGTAAAGCAAAGGTATTTTATAATCAAACCTATTTATTTTGTTTAAAATGAACAGAGGTGAAGACAAAGAACTACATTATTTAGAGAGAAAAAACATAAAACCCAATGAGTTTTTCTGGCAATACTGCAAAACAATGCCAACATCTTTCTATCAATATTGTAAAACAATTCCAACATATGCCATCCTCCTACTCAGAGGGGGCTTATAGCAAGAGTATATATTCATGAGACAGCACATACTCCGTAACACACAATGAACTACCTAAAGCTCACAAGTTATGTCCATTTTACAGATGGGGAAACAGGTTCAGAGAGGTCAAACTTGAAAAAGGTGTTATAACTAATAACCAGTAAGGACTGAACTAAAACCCATGTTTTTAGAATAAAATTCTAGTGCTCTTTCCACTATACCATTCTATTATCAAAATAATTTCCCCTAAAAGAGCCTTAAAAAGAAAAAAGTAATGAAATTTGTATATAATGTTAAATTGTCTTTTCTTCTACTGTTTAAATGGTTCACCCATCCTAAAAATAGGTATCTATAAAAATCTAAGTAACATAACTGTCTTAAGTGATTAAATTGAAAGGATTACATGATAGGTTGGTTTAGAGAGAAGGGCTTTCTTTTTTTTTTTTTTTTGCTTTCAAATTCTAAAATGTTAATGATAAAAGATAAATTTTTCAAGGGAAAGTATTTAACAAAGAGCTTCCAAAAGCTACAGTAAGCAAAATCCTAATTAGGTATCAAATTAATCAGATAGGGAAACGTGGGCAAGATTTACTCAGAAGTGTTCAGAAAGCTTAATTAGTCGTAACACTGACAAACAGGACATAATTCATTCTTTATCACCACAGCCTTCCAATGGAAATTACAGAATAAACTATACATTATAAAAAATAATTCCAAAGGCTTCCTTCTGCAGCTGGAAACACATGCTTACTGAGGTGCACTGGTAAACCCCTTGCCACTTGGTTTCCAAGGGGCAGGATACACGTAACCACCATTTCAGCTTTGGAGAACCCCAGACGCCTTACCCGACTGCATTTTCTGTGAGTGAAAGTCTCGGGGTGATCTGAATGCAGAATTCCATCACCACACAGGCCCCAAAACCCTCACTCTGTCAACCTCGCTAAGGAGGAATCATGAAATGCTGGAAGGCACAGGTCTGAGAGTAACAGGTTTACTGGAAACAACAATGAAGGTGTCTGAGGGGAATAAGCTTATCGCTCTGGGTTTTTCTTCAAATGAGCAGCAAAAGGAGTTTGCTTCCTCCAGGCTGACACCTATGAAACGACAATCAAAGTGGGGGCAGAACAAGCTGCGCCCCGGGGCGGCTGGCCAACGCCAAGGAGGCGGAGGAGGCCGGCGGGCGGCCCTGCCTGGCCGGTCGGGGCTGGCAGCCGCCCTGAGACGCCATTTCATCAGCGTGACCTGCACTGGAGCCTGAGCCGCAAGCTGCTCTCTGGATGGCACGTCACACGCTGACTTGGGAAAAGTACACGCTCTGCCCGTGTGTGTTTCGTTTCTCCTCCGCCAGGGTGATGGGGGCAGAAATACCTGCAGAGGGGCCTCCACCCTGGGAGACACTACCTTGCGAGCCAGCTGCTTGGTCGCCTGCACCTGGGTCGCCTGGGCTCTCCGCTCCACCATGTCGGCTGTGCACAGTGACAGCCTCATCCTGTCGCGCTGCCAGGAAAGTCCCAGGCAACCTGCGAGCGCCCGCGGCGGCCGGCACAAGCCTGGCAGCCCTTCCACTCAGAGGCCCCACTGCACCCCCTGCAGCGGGGGGAGGCGCACGGAGGGGACTGGAAAGCTTTGATTATCTAATTGCAGCTGACACTAAACCGATCTTGCCCCCTCTTTCAATTCTTTCAATTGTCACAACGTTTTTATTCAGGCCCCAGTTACAGAGAGTGCCAGAGCCGGCTGCTTCTGTTTTTGAAAGTCAGCCAACAAAATAACGGCGCTGCCGTGGGCTGCATGCAAATCACCTGCGCGTGCTCTTACTGCCTTTGTTTCGCCCCAGCTTCCTCCGAGCTCCTCCTGCCCCAAACACCGGGCATACCACCGCTCGCCGATATTCCCGAGCCACATGCAAATTGGCAAGTGTCCAACTTCTTAATTACTCTCCTGCCTCCCTCTAAAAAAGATCTAAGTAGCAAACCCAGCCACGTAGTCACCAAAGCCTGTTTATACATGTACCAAGCAGCCACCAAAACAATACATTGTTCTGCCTTTAGCACAACAGAAAGGAGGTTTCTAAAAAATGATGAAAGCTCTCAAGTGTTTGAAAATGGGGTTATGCTTCAGACTTGCAAAGACATAGTCTGAATAGAAAATAATGTGATAAAAATGACATTTTTCTGGACCTGAATCGGCACATTTACATACAAACACTTATCTTACCAGTTAAAATGTTTTGCCAATTCAATCCATGAATTAAAAACCCAGTTTCCTTGCATTATTTTGTTAGAGGCCACGTTTTATGTCAGGACAAATGGTTGTCACTTAAAGGAAGCACCTGGACCAGGGCTGGCAGGAGCCCTGGCCTCACGTGGCACAGGAATCCTTCTACACCTACAACTTGAGGCCACGTGTCTGGACCCCCTGACCGAGGACCAAACCCAAAACCTGGGCATGTGCCCTGACCAGGAATCGAACCGGTGACCTATGTGTATGTGGGACAACACTCAACCAAGCCACACGGGCCGGGAATCACCTACGTTTGATTGTAACTGTTGCAGTGGAGTGGGCAAGCCCTACTCCTGGTCAACGACTATGTCTGACCATCCCTTCTCTTTCTTGCTTTCTGCTGACAATCATTGACCTACACCCCCTTGACCAGGACTCAGCAGAGGACAGTCAAGACTATTTGAAGAGACATAGCAAAGCTGTCTAAAAATATTTGTTCTGAGTATACCACAAAGTCATGGTTTTGAGAAACGCTACTATAAATACTTCTGTGTCATGTTGCAATGATCCCCCATATTAAAAGGCAGTACATAAAAAAAATTAATATGATCTGTGACACGTTTCTTTTAAATTCCAATCTAATACAAGAAGCCTCTTTGCTTCTCCAGTTACAGACCTGAATTTCATGACCATCGGCAAATAGGGTTTCCACGCCAGGACCAGTGTCAACTGTTAAACTGAGGCTTAAGAAAACAACAGAAACATGGCAGTTCAACACATGCACTTTGCTCCCTTCCAAGAATTTCTCTATAACTTTCGTGAAAAATTTTTAAAGTCTAAACCCACAAGGTGAAGAAGCCAGGAATGAGAGATGGGAGATGTGATGTCACATTCTGGAAGCCGGAGAGCAAGGGAGCGAGTGGTGATTCTCCCGGGGCCGAGAGAAAGCTGCATCGAGCTGCAGGCAGGGGCGCCAGCAAGCAGCAGGTGGATCAGAACCCGACACCGCAGGGTGAGTGCGAGCCATCAGGCAGGTTTGGCTTGAAGTGTCTGACGTTAAGTTAGAAACACCCTCTTCCCATAAAACGCCATTTCCTTCCTGCACAGCGTGTGCGCGTGTGGTCCTGCACTCTCCAGTAAATGGAGAGGGGGTCTCACTGCCAAGTTTCACTGTGGGCTCTAAAGCATCTGCCTGACAGTCATGAGTTCTGATTACAGACTTGTGCTTTCTGGTGAGCAACAAAGTAACTAATGTCTCTGAAAACATGAGAAATCATATGAATAAGTGGGGGAAAGCAGAATTCAACTTTAAAATCCAATTGAAATGAATTCTACCTATTAATCTATCTTCTACCTATTATCTATCAACCACCTATCAATCAATCATCTATCTATCATATATCTATCATCTATTTATCATCTATCATCTATTTATCTATCATCAGCTATCTATCAATCATCTATCTACCTATCTATCATCTACCATCTATCTATCTTCATCGTCACCACCACCTAGCTCGCTCGCATACATTGACTACAGACCCGAATACGTCCCTTTTTGTTCCTGGAAAGCCAAGCTGAAGACAACACACAAGTTCCCGATAAAAGACGGCCTTTCTGTGGTCTTACCTGGCTGGAGCTTACTGGGCTGCTGCACGCTGGCTGCAGGGAGGGGAGGAGGGCTCGCCCCTGCAGTCCCGGCGCCCTGTGTTGGGCTCGCACTAGTCAGAGCCCCTGTGGGCAGTGGCTGGCCTCTCTTCAGTAGCTGCTTCTGTTCTTGCTGGCGGAAGCGTGGAGGCACCTCGCGAGGCAGGTAGCGGGATGCAGCTGGCTGCTGGCCGCCGGCAGGTGCGCGCTTGCCATTGCTGCTGCTGGAGAGAGTGCTGGTGGAAGTACTGGTCCCGGTACCGGCAGGCTGGGGCTGACTGGAACAGGTCTTAGTAGGTTCTGGCACTATAAGGACAGAATGAAAAGACCCCAACACTTTAGAAACATCCTTAAAACACAACCCAAACTGAAAGAAAGAAAAGAAGCAACTGAGAGAGATGACAATGTAGTGCTTTGGGAAGAGAACTGAAGTCCAGACTCCAGGATGAGACTGAGTTTTCCTCTAAACTAACCGCAATCTTGACTGCAGCTCCCCAGCCAGTTTCCTCATCTGTGAAATGGGTGCTTAAGTTAGAGAGCAGCTCCCCCACTCCGCTTGTATCAGACTCAGCTCAGGGCTCCTGGGCCCTGCTGAGGGAACCAGCAGGTGGAGGGGAGGGGAGGCGACAAATTTGTGTCCTACTTTATTTTTAATTTAACGTTGTGGTTAATAGCATTCTATAAATGCCAGGTGCGCCACATTATGCTACATTACCGTGTGCCCACCGCCACAGTCCCACATGTTCTGACAAGCCCCAGGCGCTGCTGCTGCTGGTCCCGGACATACTGAGAACCACTCTCGGTCAGTGTTCCTCAGAATTAAGGGGTTCAGATGTCCACAATTAACCATGAACATTTCATTTTGATCTGAGGACAGCCTAAAACATACACATGGGTGCCTCAGGATGGCTGGAACAACCAAAGCACCGTGCCGAGGGTATCTGGGCACCACTGCCCGCCTCGGCCTTCCTGGAGAAGGCAGGGGCTGAAGGGCCAGTGGTGCACCCGCAGTAAGTGAAAGCCCAGTGCTACCCGCGGCGGCTGCACACGAGGGCCTCACAGTATTTGAGCACAAGGAGGAGCGGGGGTACTGAGGGGCGACCTGAGCAGTGTGACCGTGTATGGATGGGAGCACAGACATGCCAAGTGCAAAAGAATCTGAGCCTCAACAGTCACTCCCATCTTGCACTTGTAACATTAATATCCAACAAAGATTACATTTATCTTATTTAAAAAAAAGATTTCTACTTAACTTCTGAATGTTTCTGGTTTTATAGCTGAGTGACAGCTCCGTGTGAAACAAGCTCATACCTAGTTCTCTGTATATCTCATACATGTATCTCAAACGGACTTCAAGTCTTTGGACTCACTCCTCTGCCCTGGACTCTCCAGAGAGATCATTCAGTCTCATGATTTTGACCATTACCTCTATGCCACTGACACCCAAATACTGTCCCAGGCTGCCCTTGGCTCTATCCAGCCTCGATCTTCAGTTGCCTACTGGACAGTGCAGCGTGGAAGCTGTCACCCTTCAAACTGAACACGTCCAAAGGCCAGACAAGAACTCAGAACTCCTTGGGTCTGAGCCCAGGACAGTGCTGACTGCTACAGTGGGCCAACAATCAGATGAGGAGATGAAGATGACAAGACACAGAGCACGTGGTATTGACCGGAAGCCAATCGCCTAGGCAGGAGACAGGACTGTGGACAGCACGGCAGCCACGACACACGTGGCTACTGCGCACACGGGTCTGAACTGAGCTGAGCTGTAAGTATACAACATTGGATTTCAGTTTGCACAAACCCAGAAAAATATCTCATTAGCAATTTCATATTGATTTCATGTTGAAATGATAACACTTTGGATATGCTGAGTTAAAAACATCAAAAGTAATCTCACTTGTCTTGTTTTAAAATGTTACTACTAGAATGTTTAAAATTAGTTATGTGGCTCACACTTGTGGTTTGAGTTGTATTTCTACTGAATCACTGGTCTGTCTTCTGGAGAGAGGTAAAGTTTGAGCTGGTTTCTCAGAAATGTGTTAAATGTAAATAATTATCTGTTTCCATACAGGACCGAGAGCTGTGGTAGGTCACAAGCTTTCCCTGTGATTTTCCCAGACACTCTGCCAGCTGAGTACTAGCACCTTATCTCACACACAGAAAAGAGGCTAAGTATTCGCTGAACGAGAGAGACCCAGGGCAGAGCACAGAGCAAACAGGTTCTCAGCCAGTTGCCCACGTGCTCCTTCTCATGGTCACTTCCAGCTCCGTGGCTCCTTGCCACGGTGACCGGGATGGGGCAGCGGCTGAGGCCTGGGAGCTGCCTGGGACCCTGGGGAAAGCGAGAAGCCTCACCCAGCAGAGCAACGGTGTAGAGGGGACCGAGAATTCGGACCCATGGACTGCGCTCCTGGCCTCTTTCCTATGAGAGGTTACCCATCATCCCTTTCTGGTTTAATCCAGTACTTTTCAGATCTCTGAAACTAGCAGCCAATAAACAATCTCAAACTGTTATGTGGAGGATCTGAAAGTTTAGCTCTGTTCTCATCCACTGGATCCAACGGGCAGTTCATGGTTAGCCATACGCTGTCTTCAGATCCACATTTCTCAATCTATAGCTGCCCAAAGACACAGCAGGGTATCGGAGCAACCTCGACAGTCCTCTCCACAAACAGCCTGACTAAGGCTGCCCCCGCAGGACAGAGGCCTGAACCGGGTGTCTGCCCTGCACCCCACTACACACAGCAGAACAAGGGAAGGCAGGGGGAGTTTTGGCTTTTTTTTTTTCAAGCCTCACCTGAGGATATGTTTTTATTGCTTTTCAGAGAAAGAGGAAGTGACAGAAAAACACTGATGTGAGAAACATCAATCAGTTGCCTCTCCTATGTGCCCCAACCAGAGACCAAGCCCAAAACCTGGGTACGCACCTTGACCAGGAATCGAACCTGCAACCTTTTGGTGCACAGGACGAAGTTCCAACCCACTGAGCCACCTGGTCAGGGCCAGCTTGATTTTCTGTATGACTCATCAATGAATCATATGTATTTAGAAAGAATTACAATAGCAACCAACTACTAACTACATAGCCAATAATAATAATAATAATAATAATAATAATAATAATAATAAAAACTTGCAGTAAGCTGCAAATTTTGGTTAGGCTTCTTTGCCTAAATAGCTTTTACTGCCTTTTTCTTTTAAATGAGGGCGACACCTGCTGGTGAAAGGTGGTGTGTTAAATCATTATATAAGAAAACAAGTCTTAATTTTCTTTCCAAGAAAGTTTTCTGCTTTCAGTTGAAATTTTCAGAGGGCACTGTCACAACAGGGTCCCAACAGCTTATAAATGCCCACCTATTGTTGTTCCTCCAGCACCAGCTCCACATGGGCAGGAAGCTCAGCTGGACTCCAGGGCTGTGGAGGACTCTGACCCCCGTTCACTGCCCTGCTCTGCGTGTCTGCCCAGGGTGCCGAGCCCCAGCTGTCCCTTCCCTATGCACCCGTACCTGTGGGCATCCCAACCGTCAGTCTGTTGTCCAGACTGCTGGGAAGCGCAGGCTCAGAAGTGACAAGGTCTACCACCCGGTCACACTGTTCTAAGCCCCACTCTCTGCTGCTAAGAAGTGCCCGTGAGTGCAGGTGGTCTGCCAGAACCTCCTTTCCGTGACTTACAGCTTCCCCTGCCCTTGGACTTCCTCAGCCCATGCAGCTCCCCCTTGGCCCTTGGCTTCCAGGTTACTGCAGTACGTCCCGGTTTGCCCAGCGCACACACACCAAGCCTCTCCCCAGCCCAGCGCTGTCTAGGCACTGGGGACGCCCTGGTGAACAGAAAAGGCCCATTCCGCCCCGCAGAGCTCACTTCTTAGTGGGGAGACAGACGACCACCCCGATGCATAAAGCCAATCACCGAAGGTGCTGGTCGCTGGGAGAACCAGGGAGGCAGGGCGGATACTGTTTTCTCACCGTCTGCATTCTTTCACAAAGCGAGCAGCACCCTCCCTCACCTGCTGTTTACTTATTTAGGAAGTACTTAATGGGTGTCCATTTTGTGCCAGCCGCTGGGTGCAGATAGGGCTCCTGTCCCTGCAGTTTACAGTCTAGTAAGAGATACATATCTTCAGGGTGATTCTACAAATACAGTTACAAGTTACAGTGAGTATGATGAAAGTAGCAGCGGGACAGAAGACCCCCAATTAGGTGAGGGACCTGGAGAAGGCGCCTCTGAGAAGTGACACAGGCTGAGACTGCCAACTCGTCCAGGTAATGCTGTGTGTGCATGCCCGTCACTCCCACAGCAGGCAGGCTGGGCTGGGAAAGAGCCTCTGCGTCTTCCAGGACTGATGCAGGCTGGCGTGGCTGGAGCTCAGGGGCTCAGCTGCTGGACTGAGGCCAGAGACGCGGGCGTAGACAGTAAGCACTTAGGAGTCCATCACTTGGCAGACAGAAGGGTGGAGGAGGGGTCCACGGTGCTCCTGTCCTGGCCGCAGTGATGGAGAAGGCTGGAGACTCCAGCTTTGGGGAGCAGTTCTCTAGGGGCAGGCTCCTCCTCCTCCAAGCTCATGCAGAGCTGAACTGATGTGACCATCACTGCTGTTCACTCAACAGCAGGTGACCTTGATTAAGACCCTGTCTGTGCAGGCTCTAGAGCCAGGCAGCCCCGCCAGTCATCGCCTTCCTAGGTGAGGAACACACAGTAACCACAGTCACCACGCCCACGGCGCAGCACCCCCCTCAGCCTGTTCTCCAGGCTGTGCAGAAACACCCTGGGGTGGCAGGTTTCCACTCGGATGCACCCGACGCTCCTCACCTGGGACTCCACGGAGCTGGGGGGCACGGGTGCCCAGTGCACTGGGGCCTTTCCACCTCCAACGCCCAAGTCACACTGCCAAGACACTCTTCTTTAACACTTTATTTGGAAATATTTGATATGTACAAAAAGGCATAAAGATGAAATAATCAAACCTCATGTGCGCAGTCTCCAGCGTAATGAGAAAATGTCGTCCGTCCCACGCAAATCCCTCTTCTCCCCCCCTCCTCTTCCCTCCCCCCTCCAGCGTCCCCCACCTTTCCCGAAGAGACCATTGCCACGCACACTCTGGTAGGTGACGCCACACACTTCCACTCATGAGGTGCAGAGTACAGACAGGAGGCTGAAACCTCAGCTCTGCCACCTACTGGATGGGGGCCCTGAGTAAGTTACTTAACTCTCATCCCTCCGTTGTGCCACCTTTGAAATGTGGGTAATGGGGATAAAACGGGGTAACACCTTCCTGAGGGGGTCTCTGAGGAGTGTTAATGTACACAAAGAACCACTTACAACAGCGCCTGGCACACAGTAAGTGCACTGTGTTTATATTATGGTAAAGGAAAAATATTCAGTAACAGCAAGGCCATGGGACCGAGGGATTTCCAGTGGGGGAGACCGGGCTCACTTGGAACACAGCTCGGGAAA